CCTCGGTAGGGGTTCAACTTTGTTATTTTGTGCACTTTTCTGGGCCTATTTTATCATCGAAATAATTTTAGGCCCAGAAATTTGTTCTTCGTAGGTGCTGACACAAGTGCTTTAAGCCACTGTGTTTAGGTATTCGTTTTTGGTGAAATGACAATGCTTTTCGTTCGCTTATCCTATTCATTTAGCCTTTCAAATTTCTAGTTTTAGCATTCCCTTCGAAACGCGAATTCGCGAAAATCTTCTTATTATTCTATCCTCATAATTTCGGTTGACATATTTTTGTTGTGGGTTTGTTAATATTGCTTATTACTTAGTACTGGTTCTACGAAATTCCTCCTTTAATTTAGTCGTTTTGAACTGCCAATGCCGTGCACTTATGGACTTTCGAGATGGTCAGAGCCAAGACCTTCTTTCTCGTCCATAGAAAAAATTTCTTCCAAAACCGCCACCATTTTTTTCCTCAAATTACCACTTCATGCCTTCATATTTTTGGTCTTGAAAAGAATTATTCGAATGAGTTGTGGTGCCGACATCAACAGGAGTCTTATATTGATTGGTTGGAATGTCTCCATTTGGTTACTGATTTAACTAAGGCCGTAGAAGTGGGAGGAATCAATGCCTTTACTTACGTGTCAACAAGGTCAAAATATGTCATAGTTCCAAACACACTCAACCTCTTTGAATGAGTAAACTCCATTATAGATGTTCCCAATGTTGGTGGGCTGATGTCTCATTCAATAATGTTGGCTCCATCGTCCTCTGTGCTAAGACCCATAGCCATGCGTTGTTTTACCATTACCAAGCAGGAGCATGAAGTTCTGTCCATCATAAATGCTCAACTTCTAGCCTCCACATTCGCACGGAAGAGCACCTGACCGTCCAAGCCAATCGTGACGGCGGTGTTAATCTGTTTGAGGTTAGTGGGATTTTGCATGTTCAAGCAGGCGACGAGCACACCTCTACGGCTCGCATTCGCGTTAATTTGAGCCGAGCTACAGCGGGCAGCGATGGGCGCCCTCCAGCCTCATTTCAGACGCACCCCAACATTGACAAGGCCAGGTTTCAGGTTAGTTGAAAGCATGCTTGTCCCATTATTTTAGCCAGCTTATACTCTTTGTCATGCTTTTACAGAATAATAACTGGTTGGCGATAAAACCAGGTGGGAAGGCTTTTATTGTGGGCAAGGAAGTGGCGGTGCTTAAGTGGCGTCTACAAACACAAGCGGAGGCTGCCCTTCCTGTGCTCATCAATTGTTGGCCTGCTGAGATTTCGGGTGGTTTCGAGGTGAATGTGGAATATGATTTGCAGGATACGTCGTTGTCTTTGCAGAACTTTTGCATCACCATACCTTTGCCGTAAGTTATTTCCAAATTTTCTTTCGATAACGTTTTGTATGTCTATAATATTGTAAACATTAAGTTCTATACAATATCGGGATTTTGAAACGCACTTCTTTTGTTTCCTGGTGTGGCGACTACGAACGTACTATTTCGATATTCCAAAAGGTTGGGTCTGGCTGAATTATGAAGATTAACCAAGCTAGGTCCTCGGTCACCCTCTACTTTCTTTCAACTTAAGACCAGCCACAAGGCCTCCGGTTGTAAGCTCCTGTGACGGCGACTATGAAGTGGATACTCGCCGTAGTCAACTGCGTTGGACGCGGCCTCTAGTGGACGCGGACAATGCCACTGGTAGTCTCGAGTTCACAGTTCGTACCGATCGCGGAACAAAGGCCGATCTCTTCTTTCCCGTCTGCCTTGACTTCACCTCCGCTGTATCCTATTGTGGCGTTGAGGTAAGTCTGACGCCTCACCTCAGTTATGCTGAGGGGCTAGACACTCGGCATAACTCCGCTTCGTATTCCTTTGTGCATTTATCACCTCAAGCCGTAACTAATTCTTCCAGACTGAGGGAATGAGGCGCTATGCAGTCTTGAAGATTACACGAGAATAATCTAGTGTTGATAGTGTCAACTCCCCAGGAGTTAGCTGACTTGTAACGTAGAAGCTGCGACCACCAAAGTAAAAATGGTTGGAATGCTGAGGATGCTTCTAGGTATTGGAAATAGTTGGTGCGACAGTTATGCTGCAATTGTGCGATTTTCCGACCTTGTTCTCAGCTCCATCACCGACTCCCTGCTAGCCGTTATCTTACACGGCTCACTACCGCAGCTATTTTATTGTCAAGTATATCGAAAGCAATAGATGAGACAGAAACGAAGGTAATGAACGATCTGGAGCATATAAGAGAAGTTGGAGCACTCCTATGAGGTCTCGATGGGGTTCATATCACTATCCGATCTCGAATCGGGGAGATGTTAGGGCCTTGCTTTGTTAATTTGAATGTAGTTATTCTTGAATGCGTAGGGAGCATTCAACCTAAACTATGGATAAAGGTCGGTCACTGCCCATGAAGATAATGTTATTTTTTCGCGTTGTTCGTTCCTTGTCCATCTTTTTTTCAAAGTAGAAACATTTAGTTCCAAAACCGGCCATTAGATTTGCCTCAGGTATTGGATATTTATTATTGTATACGGGAATCTACCCTAGAATAATGCTTAAAAGAATCCCTTTTCATGCGCTATGTAGGTGATTGAAGCGTCTGATGCGAATGACACACCCTTGAAATTCTCCACAGAGGCAAATTTCCTTCCGGATCGGTATGAGATTGTGTAGAAAGGAGAGTAGGCAAGAGGCGCGACTCCCGTCCTTGCATACAGTTAAACCTGAATTTGGAGACTTTTTAACTATTTTCTCCACTTCTTTTTCACATTCACTACAA